AAAACATTAGAACGCTGCCTTCGATTGTCGTGCTGGTTTCCATCTTCTTGATTGGTTTCGGTCTTTTGACTGCCAACACCATCTTTGCTGTCTACTTGGTTGAGAGTTATCCTCAATTCGCTGGGTGCGTGATTATGCTCGGGATGATTCGAGTTATTCCCCTGCCGTTCATTGAAACTTGAAGTGCTAACATCTATGTCGTACAGTCCTGTCTTGGTCAACGTCTCCTCCGCCCGCCTTATCATCGGTTTCATCATGTCCTTCAACGTCACCACCTGGATCGAAGATCTTGGATTCCTCAAGAACTTTGGCATCTACAGCGCTGCTCTTGCTGGCATTTCCATGTTGCTTCCCGTCATGTACAAGTACGGCAAGCCGATCCGCGCGTGGACCGCCGGCCGTCTCGAGCCCGCGATGCCTGCCAAGGTCATCGACGACGACGACCAGTACTGGAACAATGACAAGCCGCAGTGGCAGGACGAGAAGCTGGGTAGGGCTATCTGATCTTGTGTTACACCGGGACGCGTACAGGGGCAAAAAGTGCTGATGAGAATCTTTCTCCCCTTTCAGGTACTCCCGTTGGTGTCGCCAGGCCGATGTAGAGAAAGGAAATTTCCCCATCAAACCACATAAACTTCAGAAAAGGGGGGAGGTTTCAAGAAACGACAGATTGGACAGTACAGATTGGCACAAGTTGGTCACGGGAAAGGAACTTACGGTGTTGTGCACGCATCTCATGGCTGTATGCGGAGAGAGAAAACAGGAGAGGAGAGAAGTTACTTCGAGCTGGGGGCAAAGGGTGTCAATTCAGCCGGAAGGGTGTACATTACGGGGTTTTCCGAGGAGGGATTCAGGCCCGGTCTGAAGTCCCTATAATGATTTGACGGGGGGAACAGAGTGGGCGAACGAACGCGGCGGTTCGGCTGCTTGAAGCGGCTGGCTCTTCCGGGTTTTGGCTGCCTTCATGTCTTCGATGGTGGAGGGGGAAATTCAAGATCGTTCACGACGCCTATAGTCTTTGTGTGCTGTACGCGCGTTTGTGGAGATACCCTTACTCACCGGCTCATCTCTTCACGATGGTCGTGTGCTCTAAGATACCTGCAGACACGGCTGTTGCGATGATTCGGGTTTAGACAACATGAACCAACTTTCTTTTACTCTTTCCCCCCCATGATCATTGATGTGACGTGAGAAGCGACCTCAGAATACCGACGATGCGAACACCGAGGTCTGAATTTATCAGCTCATCCAGTCTCTGGTCTAAGAAGGGTATCTCATGTTTGCGATATTTCAACGAACACTCCGAATACCGACCACGCGGCAAGGTTTGAAGCCACCTCCAACCACGAACCGCCCCTCCAAAAGACCCTATATCGAGAACGAAATGAACTATCCCTACTAAACGCCAATTCAAAGCTCTGTCATGATCTCATGTAAGGCGGTAGTTGCCATGATATCTCGTACTTGCATTCCCTCCACCCAAAAAAAGGTCCAGCCACAAACTCACCTCCATCTGCCGCGCCAATCCAGTATCCAAACAACGACTACGGCGGTAGAGTTGAGTTAGACATCGGGCGCCCTCCCCGCCCTTGAGAAAGGTGGTGGGGGGTGGGGGATCAGCGTCTCGCCCAACCCAAAGCAGCACATGTTCGTCCGCAGCCTCGGTAGCTCAAAGTCTAAGAATATAACCAACAAATGTCAAGGCTCCCCCGACCACTCCATGCGAATTCATGCCGTGGACACTGCAAGGCTGACCCATGTTCTCCCCAAGGTCATCTGTGGAGGGCGCGGGGGAGGAGATTTAAGAACAACACCGATTCCTTCGAGACGCTCGGATGGGGGAGCATTATGAATGCCGACGAGGCAGAGCAAAGCGACAACATGCCACAACGTCCCCTGTACTCCCCTCTCTGTTCGAGTTCCTTTAAAAAAAAAAAAAAAAAAAAAAAAAAAAAGGCTGTAAGCATAATCCTGTCGAAAAGTTTCCGTGCCATGGAAAACGCATAAAATGGCTGCCGCGGTGTTGTCGCTGCACCGAGCCCCGAGCTTCTGGTAAAGTTATGTGTAGCCCTCTGCACGATACAGTTTTCCGGGGACTTCACAGGGCGAGGCGATGGAAGTTGCCGCTTCGTCCGTCCTTTGGGTATGCGTTCTCTACGTTTTCAAGCTCTACTGCCATGTCGGCGGATTATTGCCTATTGTTCTTCCCACGGATCTTTTGAATGTTATGCATATGGCAAGGATGAGATGACAAACGGCCATAGCGGCAGTCAGGGCAACGACGAAGACACAGAGAATCCGGCTGTGATGGTGAAGTTGCTTCTGTACCTGGATGACTCCTGTCCAGGTAGCCAGTCTCTCGATGATGGATCCTCTTCCCCACGGGGATGAATGTGTGATTTGGAACATGACACCTTCAACCGTCCGGCTCGAACCGAGGTGACAGAATGGGGGAGAGGGAAGGAGTCGTCTCGGATGCACTAGGCTCTGCGGTTCCGCGTTATGCAGTATGAATATTGTGAGAGAGGTGATGGTGTTCTGTGTCAAGCGTATGTGTGTGTACGCTGAACCACTCAGACGACATTCTCCCGAGGCTTGGGCGATGATTGGGCGTGTGAAGCGCGGGTAGGCCATTTCTGTTTACAAGGGATCCCTTCTCAACGAAGAGACGATGTCCTGGTTCTGATGACCCAATCAGCCCCGTAAGGTCGGAAGGGTTTCCTCCTCTGTAAGGTCATACGATGGGCTAATTAACACGAAACTGCCCATGTAATACCGGAAACAGATGCAACGAGTCGAGGCGGCACGGTCTTCACATCACAAGGATAGGACTGTATTTATGTTGATGATTTTTTGATAGTGAAATACCCGATATGCAATAAACGCCGAAACCCATGATCCCATTAGACAACCCAGTTTATGTGAATGAGTGTGCCAAGCGCAATTCCCGTGCAGCAGTCTCGTCCGGAAGGTAAAATGAAAAGTCTCCAGCCAAAAGAAATAGCGGCCGTGCCCGGTTCAAAGTTGCACCTTGAAGGAAGTGCGTCCGGGGAAACAAAAACAAGTCAACCTCCCACAGCTACATTTTAGCAAGGTAGGTTCATCGACAGCAAGCTGTACTGTCTTACACACCAATTTTCGACCAAACCAACACATCTAGAAGATGCTGTTGACGATGTTGGAACCGATGGTCGCACCGGCACCAAAGATGGCCGCGTTACCGAGCTTCTTGCCAAACTTCTTGCCCATCTCGCCGGCCTTGCCACCACCGCTGCCCTCGGTGTTGGTCTGCTCGTTGGCAACAGCGGCGGGCGGCGCATCGGCATTGTACGGGTTCTGCTGGGGCGGCGGGCCTTGCGGCGGCTGTCCGTAGACCGGCTGCTGAGGGGCGTATTGCGGCTGCTGAGGAGCCCACTGGGCCTGCGGAGGAGCGTAAGGCTGAGGGGCGAAAGCACCCTTGGCCGAGTCCTGCTCGACAAGGACGTACGTCTTGGGGAAGATGCCCTCCTGGCCGGTGCGCAGGTTCTTGCCCATCCACCAGTCCTGGTTCATGTACTCGTGGATGGCGATGCGGTCGTCCCGCTCGAAGGCGACATCGCGAGCATCGGCACCGGCGTAACGGTACAACGCGCGGGCGTGCGCAAGGATAGGCTTCTCCGGAGTGCGGGAGGGGAGCGACGGGGGGCCCGTCTGGTTGTAAGAGGGCGGCGCCGGAGAGGCGGTCGGCTGGACATTGAGAGCGGCCATGGCGTTGGTTGGGGGAGCAGTTGGGTTGTTCTGGACGGGAGTAGAGGCGTTGGGAGCGGCACGGGAAGCAGCGCCGTGGAGAGGGGTCTCGGAGGGAAGGGTTGCGTGGATGTTGTCGTAGGTTTCTTCGGTGATTACGCCCTTCTCGAGGAGGTTCTCGAGTTCCTGATAAAAGGTCAGTCGTCAAGGTTCTTGTGTCGCCCGGAGCAAGCGGATGGCGGATGGCGGATGAATTTGCGTCAAACACGGTTCAGACAGCCCGAACCGGTTTTTCCACTCTTTTCCACAAAACCGACGATCAAGTGTTGCGAGACGTACATTCTTGATGGTGCGCAGCGACCGGTTGGTCTCGATGATTGTCTGTCTGTCCATGTTGCCTGCTGGATAACCCCACTTGAGTAAGACCGGCTTTCAGGGTTGCGCAATGAGGTCGTGTATTTCTGATGAGCTTGCGGTAGGAAAAAACGAGCAGTGTGGTTTATCGTCGTCAGCGGCACGAGAGGTCCGATTACTAAAATCTGGAGGCAAAGTGTTGTTTCCAGAACAAACAAATATGTCGGATTGCGGTTAAAGCCCGACAGGAGACGAGACGGACTAAGGTGGCGCTCTGGTGGAGGGCCAAGCTGATAGTGAGTGGCAGTGCGGATTAGGTAACACAGGACTAGGACTTTGAGCAGGTGGCAGAGTCACATTGCCTGAGTGGCCTGCAGCATGCTGGATATCGGAAGTGTCTGGCCTGTGAAACTCGAAACAATCCGCGTACCGAGCTAGCCGTCTCCCCGTCCTAGGGGATCATCCACTGACAGAGCCCACTGTCCACTGGACGAATCCGCCCAGCCCGTCCAGCTCAGGGAACGGGGCTTGGCGATCGTTTCCCTTACGACTCAGCCAATCATGCCTTGATGAATCCCGGAGGGCGGTGTTGCAGAGACCCGCGGGTTCTCGACATTCAAAGTAGCACTTGTCCGAGTCGGGAGGGAATTTTGCAGGTCTTTTGCGTGTTTTCGTCAGCCACGAACTAAATTGTGCCGCCTTGACCGATAACATGCTCTTGGTCTCGTATTGTATATTTCCTTTGGAGGCAGCCAGACAAATGCACTGGCGGCAGCCTTGTTGCCCAGTGTCACCAAAACTCCGTTCTCAGTACAGGCTCCAGTGTAATCGCCAAGCATCCAATCGTTAATATTTCATATCTAGATCCTGTAGAGAAATGACATCTATAGTATCCAATTGCCTTTTTCAATCCCAAACACCTAGACGAACTTGCTGTTCTTGTTGACGTACAGGTCAACATACTCATCCACAGGAGTGGCCTCCAGCTTCTTGGGGTCCAAGCCAAGATCGACAAGCTGCTTGACCTTGGTAGCATCGAAGTGAGGCTCCAAGTGTCTCTTGTACTTCTTCAGGATCTCAGGCTTGGCCTCCTCTCTTCTCAGGCGGTGTCCGAGAGGCGCCTCGACGACAACCTCCTCGAGCACGGTTCCGTCGTTCAGCTCGACCGTCAACGCGTTGGAAATGGTGCGGAGAGCGGGGTCGTGGTAGTCCTTGGTGTACTGCGGGTCTTCGACACACTTGATCTTCTGGCGCAGAGACTCGACGAGGGGGGATGTCGCGGCCTCGCTGCCGTCGACGTAGTCGGTAGCCTCGAGACGGCCAAAGACGAGCATGACAGAGGCCATGTACTGGATGCAGTGGTCACGGTCGGCGAAGTTGTCCATGGGCTTGAACTGCTTGTCGATAATGCGGATGCAGGCCTCGTGTGTGCGGCAGGTGACGCCCTTGATGTCGGCGGCGGACTTGCCCATCGACTTAAGCTTTTGGTGGATCTTGGATGACGCCTCAACAGCAGTCTGGGAGTGGAACTCGGCTATTTTTGATCAGTCGTGCTGTCGAAGAAGCAAGGCACAGTGACACTAACCAGGGTAGGACACCTTGAAGAGGACGTTCTCCATGACATAGCTGCCGTACGGGCGCTGGAACTCAAACTTGTTGCCCTTGAAGAGGACATCGTAGAAACCCCAGACGGGGGCAGAGAGGACAGTGGGGATGCCTTGCTCGCCCTTCATGACCTTGAGGGCCAGGTTGACGGCACGCTGGCAAGCATCACCGGCAGCCCAGGACTTGCGGGACATGGTGTTGGGAGAGTGGCGGTAAGTTCTCAAGCTCTGACCGTCAACCCAGGCCTGGGTGACGGCGTCGGCGATCTGCTTCTCGTTGAGGCCGAGCATCTTGGAGACAACAGCAGTGCTGGCAACCTTGACGAGGACAACATGGTCCAGACCGACCCTGTTGTACGAGTTCAGCAGGGCCAGGCAGCCTTGAATCTCGTGGGCCTTGATCATGCCCTCGAGAACATCACGGATGGTGAACTGCTTGCCGCCAGCAATGTTACCGCCAGCCTTGTTGGTACGGGTGATCCAATCGGCAACGGCGAGGATGGCACCCAAATTGTCTGAGGGGTGACCCCATTCAGCAGCAAGCCAGCAGTCGTTGTAGTCGAGCCAGCGGATCATGGCACCAATGTTGAAAGCAGCGTTGACGGGGTCCAGCTGGAAGTCTGTTCCAGGGACCTTGGGGCCATTGGGGACGACGGTGCCAGGGACGATAGGTCCCAGCAACTTGGCGCACTCCTTGAAGCGCAGGCCCTCAAGACCGCAGCCCAGAGTGTCGAGGAAAACCCATCGTGCTGTGTCGAACTGTTTTCACGAGAGTGGCGGTTAGCGGCGGCGATCCGGTTGAGACGCGGGGTAAGAACAGTAGAGCGGGTCGGCGGGCAGGGAGCTTTGAGAAGAGCATCGAGGAATACTTACAGCAAGGTCGGAGTCGACTTTGTAGTTTTGGACGTAGGAAGCAATGTCCTTGATCTCGGGGTCGTACTCTCGTGACTCGGCCATGGCTGGTGCAGCGCTCTGTCTGGCAGATGCGGTTGAAAAGTTGGAGGAGTGTTGAGAAGCGGAGCGAGTCGTGGGAAAAGCGGCAAAGTTAGTGGAGGCGACGCCAGCGCGGAGAGGAGTAGCCAGACGGACGCTTCGCGATTGGAGACGCAACGATCGGGAAGCTGTCCTGAGACCTCGGTTGAGCGCAGCAGACATGACCGCAAGCTGGGAGGAGATTATGCAGGTCAATTGGTTGTGATTGGGAGGTGAGATGAAAGAAGGTCAAGATACCACTGTGAGAGGAGGGGTATCTTTGTTCTGTGCCAATCTCAAGGTTGTCTCTCGCTCTCTTTCTCTCAATGGAGGTCACTCAAGGCTGAGGGGAAGATGGGGTCAAAGTGGGAGGAGAAGCTTTTTTCGGGGAGAGGAATTGGAGATATATCTTCTCAAGGTAGAGAGCTGTTTCTGGGTGGTCTCTGGGCAGGTCCAGTCTCGCTCAGGTGGAAGGGGAAACGGTTTGCCGCTCTCTGCCGAAGCTTGTGTGGCAGCTTGATCCGAGGTTGTGTGCGCTTACCCTTGGCCTGCCATGATGACAACAGAGGGGAGCTCGCTGCGGGCTTCACTGCACTGCGATGGACACCCGTGGGTGCTTCTCCTCCCTTGCCTGGGGCCGCGGGCGGGGGAGCTTTGACGGTAATCTGGGCACCAGTGGGCGACGTTGGGGGAGGAATGTGGGGAGGCATGTTCTGCTGAGACCCCTGGCTGTACCGCACGAGCTGCTGAGGAGCTTCCGTCCGAGTAAAACCCGGCGGGCTCCTCGGCTAGCGGCGGGCAACTGATAAGGCAACGATACCTAAACTTGATCTTATCGCCCATCTGGGGCCGTTGCTTCAGCTCACAGAGATCGCGCCGTTGCAACAGTCCCGTTTTAAGATGAGGTAGTACTTAGAGACACTCACTCACCCCAGAGTAAGTCATTTCACGGTCAATTAATGGGCTGAAGGTTACTTTGTAAGATTTTGGCACGCAATTGGACAGTTTGGGCCTGTAAACAGCGAGATGCCTCACGAGACCGTGTTTCCATCATGTACAGGCCAGCTCACGATGGGCATCTGTTATCAACGAGACGGTAAGAGAACCAAATATCCAAGCAAAATAGCTTTCCTGGCATCAGAGTGCCAACCGTGAATTGTCTTTGTTTGCTGGTCTCCCTCTTCAGTCTGTTTTGCGCGACGGAGAATGGATGTTCCTTGAGAACCAGCTTTTCATCACCATACCTACCTACCTTATACTGCAGTATCTGTACAAAAGCTTGTCTTCAAATACGAAGTTGTTACAATACTTACCAAGTAAGGATGCAAAGACCCTGACAGCACAACCTTGATGGACCGACTGTTCAAACTCAACTGGCCGAATGGCGTAAGCGCACTTTACCATGGGATGAGAGTGACAGGAGGCTCAGACACCCCCAAAGGTTATTATTATTGTTGTCGTTGCTGATTAAGACACACAAGCGTCAGCTTGTCTCACACGCACAGGCGCGGCGAAATGAGGCACAAGAGAGGCAGTGATTCGGTGAACGCATCTGCCTGTACCCAACCCTCCTCGGCCATCAGAGTGCTTCATCTCTCTCCAACCTCGAAAACAATACCAGAAATCCCATTTTGAACCATTTATCCGCCTTGATTGCCCACCACATTTTCTCCCGCCAAGATCCTAGTCGACCTGCCTTAGCGGTGCAACTCACCAGCGGTCTCGGCCATTCCGCCCGCAGCGTCGTACGGAACATTCTAAACTTCGCAGGAGACTTTAGCGGAAGGAAGGGACCCCCCTAGCCCGCTTCCACTGCGTACGCCGTATCTTACAAGGACCCATCTCCCCATTCTCCAATACGATCGACAGCCCTCCGTCTTCCTCCCGAACTCTCCCATCACCTCACGACCGCGATTTCTCCTGCGACAGACGCTAGACGCATACAATATGTCGGCTCTTCGCCCTAACCACAGGGAAAAGGCTGCCCCTAAGGGCGGCGCCTTGAATGGCCTCATCGACCCGACCAAGACGGGCAAATACCCTGTCATCCTAAGCGACACGCTCCTCGGGCGCACCCAGAAGGATGTCTTTACCGCCGTACGATGTACGTAGCCCTCCCAGCTCTCCAATCGGCCTGACTTGGTCTCGCGATCACAGAACGAATACTGATACAGCCTTTTCAACACAGATAATCACAAGCCTGATCTCCCCTCCGAGCCCGCAACAGCAAGGCTAAAACCCGAGACGCCTGGCTCCAAATCCAACTTTGACCTCTCCTTTCCCGGTGCCGATGGCGGAACATACGCCTACGCTGGCACTCGCACAATGGACGACAACCAATACATTCTCTACTTCGATCCAGCCCGCAAGGCATTCATCCTCGATAAGGTCGATTCTGCCTTCCACATGAACCTTACCCGCACGCCCTCAAACGACAACCCGGAGACCTTGCGCCAGCAGTTCGAGCAGCTCGACACGTCCATCACCGCGACACCAGCCAAGCCCCACGCCTCGTCCTCTGCCGCCCAAGATAAGCCCCAGGCGAAGCCAAAGACCAAGGCCGCAGCTGCGGCGAAACCAAAAGCACCCGCGAAACCCCGGCAGCAGAAGAAGAAAGAACCCGTCAGCATCCAGCTCGCGCTCCCGACAAACGACGCGCCACCGGCCCCGCCGCCGAAACCCGCTGCTGTGCCGACGCCGAAGAAGGAGAAGCCCGCGCGCAAGGCCATGGGATCCGACGAGGAAGACGACGACGATGACGACGACTTCGGTCTGACGATAGAGTACCCCGACGAGAACAAGAACAAAAAGACGGACTTCTCGCCCGCGTTCCCGTCCCAGGGTATCAACATTAGGCGTTTCTCCGATTTCCTGCGCGACTCTGAGGCGGACGATGCGGATGGCGAGTCGGACAATGACGAAGTGCCGTTCCCCGACTTCAACCTGCCCAGTCCCGTCAACAACCAGGTGCGGCAGCAGCAGCAGCATCATGAGGAGGTCGAGTTCGAGCACGGCCAGATGGAGATGGACTCGGAGCCGGATTTCGAGGACGCGCTTGAGGACGACCTCGAAGCCGAGTTGGAGAAGGAGCTTGAGGCTGCGAACAGCGGCGACGCAGAGGAGAGCGAAGTCAGTGAGGAAGACTGAGGTGATTACCTGGGATATCACTTTCTGATAGAGCCCGTACGAATCTTGTGGCGGATCACCAACACCTGGAGCGGTAAATCTCCGACTGGGATATAATGACGGCGTTTCATGGTACAAAAAGGAGTTTTGTTTATTTTTATGTCGGGGCGGCCTCTTGTCTAAAGCCCATTGCCCACGCAAAGCAGTATACCACCAGCGTTTGTTCAGACAGATTAGTATTCTTGTCTACAAAACAATTAACTGTTGATTTTTTTTCAATCTCGCACTCAGTCTTCGTACAGAACCACCCCGTGCTTCGAGTCCTGCTCCATCTTCTTGCCTCGCAGCATGCCGTCAGTGACGCCCGCAATCTCGTTGGCGCACCACATGTGCGTCACCGCCTCAGCCAACGCCCTCCCGAAGCCTTCATTCCTCTTCCCCTGTCTGCCGGCTTCACGGGCCGTGTTGTCTGAGACCCGCTGCTCCTCGCCGAACAGATACTCGGGGTCAATGCACCCGACCGCCAGGTCGATCGTGTCCGAGGTATCAGACCGCCAGAAGAGGAACGATCCGCAGTCGCCGCAGAAACAGCGCTCTGCCCCGAGCGTGGCGCGGAACGATTTCAGCGTTGGGGGAGTGGGCGTCGTGAGGAAGGTGAAGGCGGACTTGGGCACCATGTGGATTGGGAAGAAGAGGGACCCTGTGCTTCGGCGGCATTGGGTGCATTGGCATGTCTGGCACTGTTGAACGGGTTAGGCACGGTTGTAGATTCTACATTCTTTGGATAATGGAGAGAGAACTTACGGCCGAGATGAAGTCGTGTGTAGGAGGGAAGTTGACGCGGTAGCGGATCGAGCCGCAGAGGCATCCGCCGGTGATGGAGGTTGGCTTGGGGAATTCTAGTGTCATTATGTTGGCTTTGCAGTTGAACATTTAAATTGCTGATCGTGATGATGGTTGAAGTTTGTTATCGGGATATTGATTGGGTATACATCCCTTAGTCTACATCTCCTACCCGCCTTTCCTCTGGTCAATCGCGCCCTTGCGATTTCTGTACGTAGCGACGCTGCAGCTCCCACGCCCCTCTGCGTCACGCCTCACAGTTGCAGCGGGAAGCGCTGATCCTGCTGCACGCGCAGATGCAGGTTCCAGACATAAAATCTCCCAATGTGTGACCCACGATGCCGGGGTTCCCTCACAGTACATCCCACCGCGCGATCCATCCGACGCTCTCCCCCGCATTTCGCACGATGCACAGAACGCCTTCCCTCTTGCCCCCCTTCCTCAGAGCATCTGCAGCTCTTTCGGCCGAGAGACATCCCATGGCCGTCGCTCTGCCCTCACTAAGGGAGTACGCGCCCGTCGTGACGAAGCCGATAAGGTCGTCCTCGTTCGGCACTAGCGGGTGTCCGTTCATGTCTGTCTGGTTCGGCTTCTGCTGCGTGCCATCCGGGGGCGGGGCGCTCACGAGCGTCTGGGCGAGGAGTTTCTTGCGGGTCTGCAGGTCTGCGTTCCGGGGCAGACGCTGCTGTTGACTCGATGATGGCTTCGCCTGCGTGGTGGGAAGAGTTGCGAGCCATTGGCTGCGCAAATCCACCGGCAGGCCGTTGATGGACTTTAGCGGGGGAGGAACGGTTGCCGGGACCTCCACTGATGAGGCTGGCTGGGCGGGTTGAGGACGAGATGGAAGGCGGTAGATTCTGGCACAGGCGGTGGCGACGCCCCGGCTGAGCATTGAGATGTTGACGTAGATGATGGAGCGTGGGGGAAGTGGTGCAGGGTTTGGCAATGTTGTGCATGCTCTAAAGGTTTCCTTTCGAATCCTGATAAGCGTCTGCAGCGACTTCTCCTTGGCTGCATTTTCGGGTGCCTGCTTCTCAGGAGACGCTTCGTCCATGTCCATCGCGTCCGAAGATGGCGCAGCTTGCGCTTCAGGTTTGCTCTCTTTGAACAAATATTCGAGGTCGCAGGCAAAGCCATCACCAACCTCACCCTTTCGTCCAGCTCCAAGGTCCAGCGACTCCCACGCGACTCGCTTGCTCTTGGGCCGTCGCTCCCATTCACGCTTCCGCTTGGCACGCTCCTCGAGCTCCCACTCCGCGCCGGCGCTGGTGCCGAGGTGGTCGAAAGGGAAGCACGGTAGGTTCCGCTCGAATGCTACTTGCCTGATCTCATTCAAGCCAGAGAAGCGCGGGTTCCCGCCGGAAGACAGCGGGAAATGGACGAGGCTGTGCCAGATGGGCTGGATGCATCTCCACGGGGCGAGGAGCGTCCAGTTGCCTTGTACTTGGTTGCCTGTGCCTGCACGTGAAGCCAACAGAAGAACAGGGATAGGGGGGTCGACGTCAGAGACTTCAAGAACGGTCCCTGGGCGTCTTGCTCCTTTACGTCGGTCTACTGACTTTTGGGAAGGCAGGTTAGTTGCCGAGGCACGGGAGTCTCTGTGAAAGAGACCGTAAGGCTTCAGGTCCACATCTGATGGCCACTTTGCTAGCAAATCCAGAGACTTGCTTTGCGCCACGGTATCATCCGGGTCAGGCTGGCTGACTCTCTTCGGGGGGTATCGAAGACGAGGATCCAAGACGGAAAACCCAAGCGTGGCGTTTGCAGGGAGTGTTGCTGGGCTCATCACACTGGTGAGGCTATCAAACATTTCCGCATGCTTCTCCTTAGACTGTTCCTTCGTGTGGTATGGGTGGAGGATACCAAGGAGTGTCTCTGTTGACGCCGGGCCGGTAAGCTCAATACTTCCAATCTCGAATCTCAGGTCCTCAATGTATGGTCTCGGGGTATGCATCTTCACGAGCCGAAGAAGCTCAGTAAAGACCTCGAGGAATGCAGAGGGATGAACTCTCAGAAAGACCTGTCTCTGAGTCTTACTCGACTGCGCTTCGCCTTCCGGTGCCGAAGGCTTTGATACAGCCTCGGGGTTCCAGATGATTGAGGCAGGGCAGATATCCCGTCTGTCGTGCCTCGTCTCCTTGCTCAAGAATCCCGTCCAGTGCCGTGTGCCAGCCCTCCACATGGCTCCCCTATCGTTCCAGCAACTCTCCTGCGCGATACCAATCTTGCGCAAGACTTGCTCCACGCTCTTGGCGGAACCGTAAAGACCAATCGTGCTCGTGTAACTCGTATCCCACGCAACCACGCCCTTCTCTCCTTGCGCACGATGCGTCGCTCGGTATGTCTTCTCGTTCGGCGTCAGGGGTATGGCGAATCTCCAGAGAGGGTTCTTCGGCTCCGTCATTCTCGACCGCTTCGCGTGCCACAGGTGCGTCGGCAGCCAGGTCTTGTTGATCTGGCGCTTCCTGAACTTCGACTTCCGCTTCGGGGGCTCATTGAGCTCGTTCCGTCGGATCTTTGGCCTCGGCGCTCTCGTCGTGACTGTGACTTTCGTCGCCCCCGCAGCCTCCCCGTCCTGTGCTTTCGCCTTGGCAGCCTTCATCTGCCGCCTCCTCTTCTTCTCTGCCAGGAAACCGAGCCTCTTCGCCGTCTCTGCGCGGATCCTCGCCCTCGTCGTCTTGGGTTTCCGCCGTCGCGAAATGACCACAGGGGTATTGTCCTCCGTCATCTCCTTCAGGGCCCTCCTACGCAGCCTCTTCGGGACCCTCTTCGCGTTGTGACTTGCCGTCCGCCGTCGCATGCCGCGGGGAACCTGCTGGAATGCGCGGCTCGTAGCCTCGCCCTTCGTGTGCCGCATGCTCTCCTCGAGGGCCTTAATCTCGAACTCGCGCGCGTTTAGAAATGCCTGCAGATCCAGCTCTCCGTCTTTAAGGGCCGCTTCCGACTGTTGGGCTACGATTTCCCTGTCTTGGCGTATCTTGACGCGCTTCGCAGCCCATCCACCGCCGCCACCACCTCCACCGTTTCCGCCATTCTCGCCCGGTGGACCCTGTTTTCGTTTGTTTGCGAAGGCGGACTTGAGAGGTTTCGACTTAGAAGCTGCGGCCGACATCGCGGGTCATAGCGCCTTTGCAATGGCAATGTGTCTCGGCAATGGCGTCGTCGCGTTGTGACTGTCGTCGGCGGGAAAGTTTGGAGGTGGGAAAAAAGTGTTATCTTATCGGGCTGCAGCTGAACCTTCCCCATGCAGGGGTGTGGGTCGCTGAAATCGGGGATGCTGCAGGGGTTAAGGACGTTGACATTCAGCTGCTATCCTTGAGGAATGTATCCGTAAACCTTTACGATCTTCAAAATATTCCGACAAAACTGAGATAACATGTGGCGCTTTACAGTGATATTTTCGGGCTACGTTTTAATGACTCTTTAAACTTGAAGGACGCTCGGAGGCAGACAAAAGTCACTGGAGGACCGTCAGCGTTAATCATGATAACATGTCAGCCATTAGATGGCTATTCGATCTGCGCCACTGGGGTACTTTCGACCCTGGCTATGACTCAACCTCAGATATAGATGAGACCTCCTATCTTTCCTTTGCTAGAGCTATTAAGTTTTCTACAGGCTCTCTTATACCTGCTTTACCATTGTCATCGCTACCATCTTGTTCACCTACCCTCATCCGTCGTCGGAGTTTTGGCCCAAGTTTATAACATGCATACTATGCAGTCATCCCCGCCCTCTGCCGGCCCAGATCTCTGGCTGGAACCCCTCACAATGAAGACGCATCTCAACGACTTCCATGAGATGTGCGCAGATGAGAAGGCATGTGAATGGAGGTAAATCGGACACTATTTGCATTTGCTCGCAGTCATAGTGTGGCTTACACGTTGATTCAGTTCGCTCCGCCATACCCAGAATCTTGAAAGCTCCAAAAAGCTGATGGAAAATACATTCACATCGACTCGTCAGGCCCCATGGCTTATCACCTGCGCCATCATGTCCTCAAAGTATCCAGCTCCAGACACCAAAGGGGGTTGCTGTACCAAGATGATTGGCTGTGTAAGAACGACGCGTGCTTCACCGTGGGGTTTGTCCGTCGGCTACAAGATCCGTTCCGATTGCTGGGGGAAAGGGTACGCGACCCGTGCCTTGCAACTGTTCTTAGACGAGTATTGGAGCCAAAGGCGAACGGCACCGAAGAGTGATGTTTACGTCGCTCAAATCCCGGCGGTAAATGCAGTGGCTTTCGACAAATCATTGACTGGAAAGATTGTAAATGATAGAGCTCAGCTGAGACATGTTTCAAATGATGAAGAGGATGGCGATGGCGATGACATTGAGATAACGCATCTCATTGCCCAAGTAGATCCCAATAATGTGGGAAGTATGAGGGTAGCAGAAAAGTGCGGCGGGAAATTCGTAACCATCAGCGAGAAGAGCGTCAAGGTGTGGCGCTTCGAGGAAAAGCGGGATATGGCGGTTTGGAAACTGGACAAACCTTTGAAAAGGGTGTAGCTAGATTATTCTAGGCAGAGGTCGTCATTAGCCTCCTTGGTGTTCTTAGCTAGGCGACATTTGCTCGTCATTATATAAGACGAGGACGAGGACAACAGACATAAGAAGGCTTTACGGAGAGAAGTTTTCCGAGAAACACACGAGCCGGCACAAGAACACCTCACGCGCAGTTTCAGTGGAAAGGATGAAAAGTGAGCTGTTTTGCTGTATGCTCTGATGTACATCTAAAGAAGTCTAATATGTAACGATGAAGGTATACAAAGGCCGGGGCAAAATGCCACATCCTACACAGGGCCGCCCACGGGGTCTTCAGAACGCGCTCTAGCACAAAATATACATGGTTATTAACGTAAATTTCTTTTGCGCACTTTGCCGGTCCCTTAGGACTTGGTGACGGCGGTGACGCAGTTGATGTCGAGCAGACCGGTGTCCAGGTTGGTGCACAGCCACTGGGCAGTCTTGCCGCTGGGCGTCTTGACGTCGATGCTCTCGGCGTTGATGTTGAGGCACTTCTCCTTGCTGCTGCAGACGAGGGTGCCGACGCGGGGGTCGTACTTGCTGGAGGCGGTGCCGTCCATGTTCTTGAAGTAGATGTCGCTGATGGTCATGTTGGACTGCGATGCGCATTAGCGTTGGGGTTTCAAGATGGCAATTTTCCAAGGCGGGGAAGACTTACGGGGTACTGGTTGCAGAGCGTCTGGTTCTTCTGGCCGTAGCACTGGTCAATGGTGATGGCGTTGTCGTTGTTGGAGTGGTGGAAGGTGTCGTAGGTGACGTTCTTGACGTATCCGGAGCCGCCGCCGCCGGAGAGGGAGGGCTGGAAGGGGGTGTCAATGCCGGGCCAGACCTTGATGCGGGCGCCGTCGGACGCGTTGGACATGGTGGTGTTGTAGACGTAGAGGTTCTCGACGATGTCGTAGGTGCCGACGTACTGGCCGAGGGAGCCGACGGAGATGCCGTGGGAGCCGTTGCAGACGAGGCCCTGGATGACGATGTTGGTGGAGTTGGGCTTGAAGGAGACGCAGTCGTCGCCGTTGTTGATGTTGGAGTTCTGGATGACGATGCCGTCGGAGCGGTAGGTGTCCCAGCCGTCCGTGTTCTTGGCGGGGTTGGACGAGGTCGAGCCGACCTTGATGTCAATGTCTGAAATGAGGAAGTCTGTGCTGTTGGCGATGAGGTTGAACCACTGCTGCGCGTTAGTATCAGGTCTTTACTTGAGGTTTGAATCGATGTCACTCACCATGGGGGAGTTGACCATGTTGATGCCGGTGAAAGAGCCGCCGTTCAGGCCATCAGTGACAAACATGATGGGTCTCTCGAGGGTGGCGTTCGACGCGAATCGGTCGTACCACTTCTGGCCGTTTCCTTGGAGGGTACCAACGCCGTTGCCGTAGATGTGAACATCCTTGCCGCCAAACACCCACATGGCCGATGAGCCTTGGAAGTTGTACTTGAAGGTACGCGGCAGCCAGTGCTCGATGTCGTCGCAGAAACCGACGGTGCCCGTCAGAGCGACATCGACGGCGTTCAGGAAGGTGAGATCCAGAGGGTTGCAGATGTTGTAAGTCTGGTCCAGAACGACGGTGCCGCCGTTATTGCAGTCCTTGAACGCCTTGAGGATGTTGCCGCTGTCATCGGTGCCGTTGCCGAGAGGCTTGACGGCGCAGGTCTTGGTCCTCGGAGCCGAGGACGGGAAAGCGCGGCCGGGATGGAACGGCGCGGCCTTGATGTCTGGGCGCGCGGCCTGGGTGAGGGGAACCAGCGCGGCGGCAGCGACGAGGCCACCGAGGAGTGTGGGAGCGACCATGGTGATGATTATCCGTTAAGCGAAGCGCGCGATGTGCCAAGTTTTTCTTTTCTGCCAAGGGATGCGAGGTTGGTCGACACTCTGGGATTCTCCAAATGCCTCCAATTGAGAATCGAGGAAGCAGTACTTATATCAGATGCCGGTTTTCTCAAATGGGAGGCTCACGTTTCTCGGCACGGCAAGGTCATCGCGGCGAGTCCACCTTCAATGACACGAGATAGGGGGAGGGCTACTGTAGCTGACGCAGTGCACTAGAAAGGGCCTAAGGTAGCAGGGGCAGCACATGGCATGGGGTCTGATTTTTCCGTCCATACGAAGGGGACGAAAGAGCGCAACGGGGACTTAAGGACGAGATAGGACGAGACCACGAGGACTTCATGGCGAGGACGGGGGGAAACGAATCAAACGATTCGTCCCATCTTGTATTGGTGGAGCAGAACAACCAACAAGCTTTTGTGGTTCGTTTGGCGGTGCCAGGAACACGCCTGTGGTGATTGGTGCGGTGATTTCCGCCCCTTCCGGACACTGCCAGATCTGGGCAGAGCGCTGATGAAAGTGGACTGGAGGCGGACGGAGGGCGACTCGGTGAAGTGGTGGAAGACATGGAGACCCGGCGTGGGCGTCAGGGGGAAACTTTGGACGGGTGTTTCTTGAAGTTCAAGAAGAGTTTGGAGCGCCGGCGAAGTTGGGATGAAGTGGATTTCCCTTCCATGGATACTGCATAGACCACTGTAAAAACCCCGGCAGCGGTGTCCGCAAATTTGCTCGGCGACGGGCGTCTTCGCGGATGTTACTGGTCATCAATTACAGTGCGGGCTAGCGCTAATTAAGGGCCAACGCAGGAGGTAATTGAGCGCTGGGATTTCCCCACGAAGCCAACCGCCATGTGGGGGCGCCGCCGCCCAGAGAGCCAAGCCGGTTGGCTTGATGGCTTGCCGCGTTTCCGAAGGCTTGGTATTTGTGCTTAATTCTGTCCATCGTCATCTGCTGTTCCCGTCGCCAGTTGATAGAATCTCGTCTGTGCGGACACTATCTGAGTCTCCAGAGTTTCCGGGCTTAGAGTGCCAGGCGGTGCACCACTACTCCAGACTCCAGGTTGTTACAAGCTTCTTCCCCGCATTCAGCGTTCGTCGTTAGCGTCATGACCCGTCGACCGTTTGCCGGGGGCCGGTCTTCGGCTTGCGACGTGGTTCGTGGAACATCTCCAAACCGTCGCTGAAATTCTGTCCCATCTGCAGCTGCAGGCCCTGCAGAGCCGCCAAAAGTTGGGGTAACGAGGTGTCATTGGGGGATACAGACTACCTCAACCTCCTCATTCTTCTCCCATGTGCCGGCTACCGTGTTGACTACACCACATGTCAGTCCCATGTCCTTTTCACCCCAAATGCCACGCACTCTGGGGTAATATCTCCGTCTTCCCCGCGTCGACCTGGTCCTTGTTGATCTGCATCTTTGCCAATTTGTCGGGTGTGTGCCATTGCAACTGCTACTCTGGTGGACACTATGCGGACAAGGGCAACCGGAAAAGCTTGAGCAGCAATGAGTCGAGCCGGTTAATATCGAGAAAGGGGCCAGACGAAGCCTGCCGGAAGCTACCTATATAATATCCAAAGCTCTGGGCCTTATTGTTTGCGTGTAATTCTTGGATGACACCTCACCCTCCTTCTCCAGCTCGGCCGAGTCCCCCATTGTGTGTGTATACCATTCGCCATGAAGAGCTCCGTGTCTTTGTCCCTTCTCTTGCCTCTGGCATCCATTGCCGCCGCCGCCGGCATCCCCAGCGGCCCAGCCAAGACATACGCAGACTGCCAAAAGAAGACCTGCGATAACCCCCTCGACGGCTGTCCCCCCAACACAATTTTCGTCAGCAAGTCCTCCTCCAAGGCGAACTTCACCACCATCCAGGCCGCCATCGCCTCCCTCCCCAACAACACGGACGCCTACACCATCCTCATCGCCCCGGGCAATTACACCGAGCAGCTCAATGTCACACGCCAAGGCCCGTTGACCCTCCTGGGCATGACGGACCGGCCCGCCTCGTCCCGTTTGTACGCCGACGTCAGCCTCAACACCACCGCCTCCAACAAGAACGAGGTCCAGATCTGGTGGAACGCCGCCAACCACAACGTCGCCTTCCCCGACAACGCCTACACCAGCGTCCTGACCGTCGGCCCCAACCTCAACGCCACCCTCACCGGCTCCGGCCCCACGGGCTTCCCCGTGCCCGACGACACACCTTTTGGATGCTCGGACTTCCGCGCCTACAACATCGACTTCAGGAACGACGAGTACCCCTTCTCCAACGGCCCTGCGCACGCCGTCGGTGTCAGCAGGGCCAACGCGGGCTTCTACTCCTGCGGCCTGTACAGCTACCAGGATACCCTCTACGTCGGCAAGCTCGGCAATGCCTACTTTTACGACAACGTCATTGCTGGCCAGACGGATTTCTTGTACGGCTTCGGCACCGCCTACATTGAGAAGTCGACCCTTTCCCTCCGCAACTGCGGTGGTGGCATCACTGCCTGGAAGGGTAAGTTTCCCTAACCCTACTTCAAGTCCTTCCATTAACATTCCCAGGAACCAACACGACGTTCGAGAATAAGTACGGCGTCTACATCTCCGACTCCCAGCTCATCGCCGCCAACTCTTCCATCGCGCCGGTCATCAAGGGTGCCTGCCCCCTCGGCCGCCCCTGGAACGCCCAACACCGCTCCATCTTCATGGAGTCCTACTTTGACGCGAGCATCAAACCTGAAGGCTACATCCCCTGGGGTACCACAGACCCCCGCACCAACAACTACACCTTCATGGCGGTGTACAACGACAGAGGCCCCGGCTGGACGCCTACCCAGATGGCTGCCAGCGGCGTCACGTACGTGCTCAACGAGACAGCGGTCGAGCCGTACAGGAATCCCGTTGATGTCTTCCAGACTGAGGACGGCAAGAACGGATTCATTTCCTGGATTGATCAGAGTGTATTGCGGTCATGATATCTAACTAGACCTGCCAAGCAAGAAGAGCAAAACATAATATTGAATACCAAGACATGAAAGTCGTGTTCCGTTTCCATCGTGATATCCTTCCTTGGTTGTTGTTCCCAAATAAATTGGTGACGTACGATGTTGTGAACCAAAGACAACCATATCCTTCTCTCAAAAGGCAATCGAGACACTCAATAAGCAAATCGTTCTCTCGATATGAATCATGTGCCTCGATGGGACTCAGTCGATGAAAATCGGTAAATCTCTTACGCAACCCGCCTGGGCAGGCTCAGGCGTACCCGGAAGAGATAGCGTAGCCGAGCGAGGCGAGTCGGGAACGTCGGGCACAGGCACATCTTCCATTTCGATGTCGGAGTCAATGTCGAACTTGATCTCACACTGTTCATCTTCGTCAAGCATGATTGCCTGATCGAGAGAACCACCGCCAACGCCGACATCCATTGGTAGAAGAAGGGGTTGAACGAGTTCCAAGGGTGACGGTTGGCGAGGTCCCTCCGACACAAAGATCAACTCCCTCCCTCCTACACTAGCTCTGCCAGGTCGTGAGGCCGTAAGACCGTCGACTTCTAGCAGCCAGTCTTTCAAGTGCTCGCAAAGGAGCTTGACGACACACGCTGGGAATGCGTTTCCGATCTGTTTCTTCAGGACGGCTTTAGAAGCAGGCGAAAACTTGTGCCAGACCGGGAAACCCTGAAGACTGGCGAACTCTCTGACGGTGTACGCGCGTGTATTGCTGTAGTGCCGATTCTGACCGCCGGAACAGGTGACACATCTTTTCAAGATTTGATCAGGGTCACTGACCACTGATCCGGAAGGAGGCGGGCTGTGAGTGATTTCTTCTTCTGGGTTGTGAAACGTCGAATCGTCGGTGATCTTCCGGAGGGCCTGCCTGATCGTGACGTACTTCGATAGGCCGCCAAGTCCTGTCTCGGAATGCGTTGCTGTCGGGAATGGAGGCAGCTTTTCACCCGGGCAAGCGCCAATCATTATCAACCTCTTTCTAGTTTGAGGTAGTCCCCAGGTCTGTAAGTGCACGATCTTCCAGGTTACCGAGTATCCGAAATCGGTGAAGCCGCCGACTAGCGAGCAGAAGAAAGGGTCGTGACAGTTCTGTAAGATTCCAAAGGTCTGTTCCAGCGTGAATACTCGAGGTCTTAGCCTCTCCACTAGACTTCTGCAAGCAAACAGAGCTGCAATATTGGCTTCGTCGTTCACTCCCGGGATAGTGTGTGCCGGCGACCATGTCTGGCAGGGTGGTGAAAGGTGGAGGATGTCGGTTCGCATAGGTACGTCCGCGTGGCTTAGTATAAACTCATCAACGGATGTTTGAAAAAGCGTTGTCTCTGGGAAGTTTAGTCTGTAGCTGTCGCAAGCCTTTTCCCAGTGGTCGACTGCGAACTGAACGTGTAATCCAGCCCTCTCGGCTCCACGAGAGAAACCACCTGCGCCGCAGAAGGAGTCGAAGACTGTGTAGCGCTGCTTGCCGTCACCTGTCTCTGGAAGGTGCGATCCTCCCTGGATGGTAAGGCCCCTCCAGTCCTGTCTCAGATCGTCTTCTTCGACCTTGTGCTCTTCCCTCTTGACTTCACTAGCGCGGACACGTTCAAGTGTCCAGTGGTGAGCTTTTCCCTTAGCCTTCATCTTCCAGTCTCGGTAGTGGATAAAGAAGTTCCAGCGACACACGAGGGGTCCTTCCTTCTCAACAGCCTCATGACTGCAGAAAGCGTGCGCCGTATACCGGTGCTGAGGGTAAGGGGCGTTAGTGACATGCAGTGATCGTGATGCGTGTCCAAGGGCTGTAGCTGAAACCTCAATTCTCGCTTGAACTTCCGCCGGTCGGTCATCATCTGCATCAATTTCATGGAGACAGAAGATCTCGTTCAGTTTCCGAGGGAGCTTAGCCATGAGTGTTCGAGATCGGCAAAAAGGCATCCCGCAAATCTTGAGTTCACCGGTTTCCAAGTTCTCGAGGATAGTGGTGACTTTGATGAAGTGGACTGCAATAGCTGTTGAAGGTGCCTGCTCAGGGTCCACGTCATAAAACTTGCCGACTTTGATCGGGCGGCCATCATGACAGACTTTCGTGTGTTCGCGCTGAGGAACCTCTCGCTGCGGCTTAGGACGACGCTTTCGGGACCGACGAACGACAGTTGGCTCGTCATCGATCGTCAAGTCGATTAGGCCTTCCAGGGCCTCGCTCGCAAGGTTCTCGTCTTTCTCCTCGTCCACGCCGCCGCTTGACTGTGAAGCTGAAGACCGGTTCTTTTCAGGCTGGTAATTCTTGACCCGCCATGCAATCTCAACGACCTCGCGATCAACCTCTGATACTAGGTCATTTTCGTCCACATCTATGGCATTTTGTGGACTCTCTCCAGAGCGTCGGCCATTCATGGTGACTGCTATCTTCCGAGTTAGTGTTATGTGCCTGCATGGGGAAGAAGCTACTCACCCTGTGTAAAGTTGACAGTTGATGGAGGCGAAGTCAGGGTCGAGCTCAAGAAGAGATGGTCTGGCGAGTCTTTCCGAGTATGGCACCAAGTTCCTTGATACACGGGTCTCTGGCTAGGTAGATAGACAGCTAAGAGAAAGCAGGAAAGCTTCTTCGTCGAAGGCGGAAGCTAAGAAAGAGTAGCTGCCGTAAAGTGGGAAGTGGGAAGTGGAAGAAAGACGGAAGAAGTGAAGGTGGAGGTGTAAGGTAGGTGGAGGTGGTTGAGACAAGAGGAGGTGGAAGCCTAAAACCAGAGGTCGACTGGTCCAAGTGTGGGAGCGATCTAGATAGATAGGTAGATAGAGCTGGAGGGGATAGGTGGATTGGTGATGGAGACCTTAAATCAATCAACACACGGGTAGGGTAGGCTCGATGAATGCACAGTTATCTCTCAAAGGGGAAAGCGCGCTGGGTTAGCAGTCGGCTTTTTGAAAAATAAGAAGGAGCGGTTTAACGGGCCAACGGTCATCCACAAAAAAGGGAGGCGCGATAGAGCTGTGCGCATGCCCTCCTCCTTCTTGCTTGGTTCGGAGTTTAAAAGACGCTCCCTCAGGCTTTCTCGTCCACAACAAACCTCCTCACCAACAACAACTCCCATCTGCTTCACATGCAGCCAACCAGCCAACAACTCTCCACATTAGCACAAACACACACGTTCTTCATGCACATCCAGCCAACCACTAAGACTTAATTCTCAAGTCATTCAAAGGCTTTTCAAATCCGCTTTCCTCCACAAAACTTATCCACACGTGACCATTATCAACCTTACCCTTTTAGGGGTATCTTATGAGGTAGGCATAAGATCTTCTGGCCATCAACTCATACAAGGTCGGGCCTGCTCGTATTAGTGTAAGTTCTTCACCTCGCGTGGTGTCATCTATCTGCAAAGAGTCTTTCAGGGGTAGGTTTCCCATCTTGGTGGGCAACAAGCTAACCAGCCTCGAACAGCTTATCCCACGCGCACATCTTTCTTCATCCCACCTTTCTTACACACTTCGTCCCCAAGCTTTCACCTCCATCACAACTTTCGCACTGCTTGAAAGAGGTTGAATCCCAAGTAAGCAACCAGAAGATTAGCAACAGCGTACCATCCAACAGTTTTAGTCGCGCCATCCCCCTTTTCTGTCATCCTAGTCTCATGAGCCAGTTTACTCTCGCTGCTATCACGTCTGGACCAAAGGAGACACAAGCCTGTCTTTGAGCAGACAACAGGCATTCAGCCTTCAAAGATCACAAGTATCTCAGCCACACCTTCTGAAGTACAAAACACCACCCCTCACTCCTGGTATGTTTGCGATTGGCTCGTCCCTTGAACAACAGTTGCTAACAGTACAACATCTAGTCTCCCTAGCAACAAGTACAGCAGACAGAATGCAGACTCGAGCTGCCGCAAGACTTGCAGCGAAAGCTGCCTCCCAGCCTCAGGTGACAAAGACAGAGCCTGTGAAGGCTGGAACAAAGCGCGCAGCAGCTACCCAGCCTACTGAGACCCGACAGGCGAAACGACGTGGAGCAAAATCCAAGCAGCCATCTCAGCCAGTAAAGAAGGCCATTGATGTTCTTCCTCATGGGTTGGGAACTATTCATGATGGGAAAAGCATCCAGGCTACAAGCGGCGTTCAGGGGGTGAACAGCAATTTCCAGGGACACACATCTACTCCAAACGACGATGACAAGCTGAAGATCAGTGGCCACCAGAAGAACGATGATGTCCAGAAGGGTACTGCTAAAGAGAAGAGTACTGCTGGCGGAAAAGATAAGAAGAGAATCCCTAATCCCTACGGTCTGATGCCTGGCCGAACGCCCTTTCCTAACCACCAGGGCCCAACAGCAGAACAATGCCAAATTGTTCACGATATACTCACTGCACAGCATGGCGAGAGAAAGTCTCCAAGCAAGATCCTGCCACCATCTACTGAGGTTGCAGGATGTGGTGAGGTACCAGACATCTTGGACGCAATGATGCGAACAATGGTTAGCGCGAACACAAAGATGACCAACGCGGACAAGGTCATCAAAGAAATCATCAAGGCGTACGGTGTGCTCGACAAGGATGGTCTTGGGGCTGGTAGCATCGACTGGAATGCTGTCCGGATGTCCCCGATTCAAAAGCTTCGGAAGGCGATGATTACTGGTGGACTTTCTAAGGTGAAGAGCGAGCAGATGAAGGAAATCCTCAACAAAGTGTTCGAGGAGAACCAACTCAGAAAGGCAGCATTCGTCAAAGAAAAGGAATCAGGAGAGGCGGCAAGTGTGAAAGGAGCTGCCAAAATGAGCCAAGGCCAAAAGGACCACCAACTACTCAAGATTGACAACGGAATTTTGACACTGGACCACATCCGCACCATGCCAGCAGCCGAAGCAATGCCAGAGATTCTGCAGTACAAGGGCATTGGCATCAAGACAACTTCATGTCTTCTCCTTTTCTGCCTCCAGCAACCCAGCTTCGCAGTCGACACGCACGTTTGGCGATTCTGCCTGTGGTTGGGATGGGTTCCCAGAAAGGCAAGTGCCGATAAAACCTTCAAGCATTGCGACTACCGAGTTCCCGACGAGTTGAAGTATGGCCTCCATCAGTTGTTCATCGTGCATGGGCAGCAGTGCTACCGCTGCCGCAGTGGCACCGCAAAGGGTACGGCTCAGTGGAATTCTGTCGTCTGCCCCCTCGAGCATCTCCTAGACCGTTTCGAGAAGCACGAGGCTAAGGCGCCCAAAAAGTCGACGAAGGCCAGTCTCAAAGAGGAGAAAACCAATATTGAGGAGCCTTCCAAGGAGACGGTGGATGAGGACACGGAGCAGGCACTCATGGAAGATGATGGCGCTGAAGACGAAACCCAGAGTCGGTCTTCTGAAAATGGAAGTGACGGCAACGCAATCTAGGAGAAGCGGCCGAGCGACAACGGCGAGGTCGAACTGCGACGAAGTCGGCGGATCAAGAAAGCCACACAGTCCGACTGAGAGAGTTGGAGGGTCTTAAGAGCAGTGGTGGTTACATGCGTGCGAAGCGGTCGATTATCTTGGAAGGAGGCGATTTCTCTTTTTCTTCTCTTTTTATTTCCAGCGGTTGCGATTCTTTCGGACAGGTGCTCTCACAGGACTTGGACCTACTTTGGTACCCAGAAAGGGGAGATTGCTCTTTGATCACGTCATTTATATCTTGCTTCTTCTCTCCTCGACACACAGGTGTATATTAGCTAGATAGACAGGTTCTCAGACGGGTTCCATTTCAGGCATTTTCTAGAACACCTCGCATGGTCAAATGAGGGATGCTTCCTTTAGTGACCCAATGTGCTGTTCTTGTCATAGAAGATACAGAGAGTCTTAAAGAGACTTTGTTGAACCATCAGGAAAGCTCCTCCTCGAGATCTCATCTGGTGACAGAGGACCAAGAGACGAGGTTGTGAAGAATGGGAGGCTTAGAGATCAAGGATGAACTCGTGCCTGGTTTAGTGGTGAGGTGGGATTTAAGATGTGGTCAGTGTTTCGAAGCCCAAGCCTCAGTGGCACATGTGCTGAAGCATCGACCGGTCACACCGAAAATGCCTGACGTAACCTGCAGAAGGTACAAAGTTACCTAAGGCAGCTGTGAAGGGACCCATTTGCCATTGCACCCCCTGTCGACACGTTAGATGCGCTTTAATGGGATTTTGAACGCCAGGCCACATCCCAGCCGGGCCGGAGCGTGTCACTGCACTTTTTGCAGCCCACTTCATTTTCAACACCCGTCACCAACTCTGCCACCCAGCAACCACCACCTCCAAGATCGTGGACTCCTACCTTCCTTCCTCCACGATCAACCTGTCCAGTCCTGTACTCCTTCCTACCTTGTTTTGCTCGACGATCTATTTAATTCTTAGCTGGCGACCTTCCCACCCTCGACCTTCCCTCCTGCAACCCCAAAACCGAGCAGCGCAGAGGAAGATCCATCGACACCACGACTCGACCTCACTTACCGCGATACCTTTTCGCAAGGTCTGGGTAGCTTCTCGACGCCGTGAAAAACCGAAAGATCGCCTCGCGTTCATGCGCGCGAACCGCAGTGGTCGCCGTCCATCTCCGACCTATCGCACGCTGCGCGCTCGATACACTTTCCCTTAATCTGCCACCGCCGTCTACCCATCACGACATGCCTCCGTGCTCACAAACACTACGATAAAATGGATGCACAACCTGTCGAGGATATCCTCGAAGAAAATTTCCGCAAGTTCGGTCAAATTCCGCCAGACGTCCATCTTCTCTGCCCGAAAGTCGACGAAGACGATTACGAGGATTACGATGATGTGGACTCGGCCGGCGAAGAGATCTCTGCCCTGCAGAAGAAGGAGAGAGTCGAGGCCTGGAAGAAGCGTCTCGACATCGTCTACTGGACCAGCCTTCTTCTTGCCTACGGAAAGGACAAGGCCGGTGTCTGGTTGGAAGAATGGGGAAAGCGAATGGCCATCAATCTTCACAACTGCGACAAGTGCGTCATGAACTGGCACATGCATCGTAAGAAGTACCTGCGGGTATTTGCTGAGTAGGCTTTGGCTGGGAAATTACCCAGATGCGAGCTTGATGCTAACTTTCTCGCAGGAAATGGCCCGAGGACGCTGTCTCTGGCATCGAAAACTGTCTCCACACCTTCGACTTCGACCGCATAGATAAGGGCCTCGAGTGGGCACAAAAGATCATTGAAAAGGTCGAGGCTGACGGCCGCGCCTTTTCGAGAGCGGACCTTGGGGAGGACCAGGGCGCCGTACTTTTGACTGTCTACGAAGCCCTATGCTGTATGGCATACGTCAGTCTGCCAGACAAGCGCCGACTTTTCCAATACGTCTTCGTCCGCCTTTCTGGCAAGAAACCCTTGAAGCTTGGAGAAAATGTTCTCCTTCCGGCCATGACCCAATTCCTGTTCGATGAGGACAAGACAAGATTGCAATTCGCAGAGAAGTCTTGGGAGAGACTCCGGCCAAAGTCACTCACACAGGAGCAATTTGACTGGGCTGTTCATGATAACCTAGCTCAGGCGATCCAGGAGGTCGCCGCGCTACATCCTGAACAGTCCACTAACCTCCCCACGATCGAAAAATTCTGGAGAGCGATAAACTGGATTCTCAAGGCTCTCGACGAAAGACTTCTGCTGCATGGCATTCGTGGGATGGAAGTTAAGCCCAGCATCTATGACCTGCTATTCGTTCATATGCGATGCGAGTCAGAAGCCATCTTGCTTCTTGTCATTCAGGCGTTGACAGCTCTCCTGCAAACATCTCGGCAGGCCTTCTGGGACACAATCGGCGACGCACGACCCTTCGTTGTCGTCGAGCAGGTCCTGTCAACGCGGCTGTTCAGACAGCTCCTCTCCCAGTCGCTCACCTTCGCCATTCAAGCCAACGACAACTCCGAAGACGTCGAGTCCATTACAACGTCGTGGATTAACACCTGGATCCAGTCTCTCAACCGTAACCAGAAAGGCGACGCCTGCGAGCAGTTGCTTCATCTTCTTTTCGAGCAGATAATCCACGAGCCCAGCATCGGTGAGCAGGGGAAGGCCGCCTGTATCCGAGCCGGCTTGGACGCTCTTGAACATGTCCTTCGAACGTTTTTGGACCCGTCCGTTAATGTCATTTCGGGAACAACATCAGTTTACATCAACTCGATTCTCAACGTTGCAATCAAACATAAGGACGTCATCAGAGACGGAGCGCATACGAGAAGCCAAGATCAACACACTTTGGGGGTGCCCAAAGCTGCCTTGAGCGTCATCAGTGCTGCCCTGACCCTGGATTCTCGGGTTACTGCGGAAGAGCATCTTGAACTCCGTAAGAACGATCATGCAGCTATCCAGACGGCTGTGACGCGGAATTCAGCAGACCTGTGGGATGCATTCCTGGATGACCTCTACAGCGGACAGTCTGCGTTGGCGAAGACCATGCTTATGGCGATGGCGCCTCTCATCAATGTTGAAAAATTCCGTCCTCCCCGGAAGGAGCCTGATAAACTCGACAAGGCTCGACAGGACTTCAACACCAGATTCGCCAAAATTGCCGACGTATTGAGCAGAGTCATGCAGCGACTTTGTGAGTTTACCGTCCCAGAGCTGGACAAGCTGTGTCTTGGCGGCCAGTCTATCCGACCCATCATTGCCTTCACCGTCCATGGCGAGAACGACATTAGTAGCGCGAGCTCTGAACTCATCAAGACTATCACCGAGACGTCATCTCGTTCCGAAGCTATGACGGCATTACTGGAGCGCCACCTAAGCACGACGTTGTCTTCCATGGTTTTCGCTACGCGCAAGATTATGGAGCCTAGCAACCTGGCGTGGGGACCTGCACGCCATGTCATCAACACCGCCAAGGATGTTCTCAAGGGCCTCAGCGATCTGTCTTCCGGTGTTCTTAGATCCAAAACTCTGGACTCAGGGGAGTCGAACGCGGTCACCTTGTGGTGGAGTACCAACTGGAAATACATCGAGTTGGCATTTCAGTCTACCGGGAGCTGGTCGCACCAGGCTGAAATCCAGGTGATGCAGGATTTCTGCAGAGACGTCATTGAATTGGCGGATGGGTTGCTGGCTCAGGACGGCCTGCTAACTTCAGCTCTGCGGGAAAACCCCTCAAACCAAGGAAAAGACCTGACCAAGATGCAGCTGCTCCTGAAGGAGCCACAGCGTCATCTGAATGGCATCGTCCGAATGCTTCGCTTGAGAGACTTGTACCTGGTTGAGGTGACTGTTAAGGTGGTCGCCAAGCTGCTCAACCGACTTCGGGAGAATGATCTCGAAATCCCGGGCGAGCCAAAGGCGTTTGTCCAAGACTCGTGCATCAAGGCTTCGAACGGTAGGTACCCGATCAGCACGAATCTGAGTGATCAACAACGAGCAGAGCTACTGAAGTCTCTGGGAGAGGACGACGAGGTCGAAATCATTCAAATTGGTGCTGCTCCGAAGACCGAAAAACCAAAGAAGCAGAGCTCCCTCGATGCGTGGTCAAAATCTGGAACCTCGACACCTCTCACCAGTCGATCAAACAAGCAAGATGTTCTGGAACTCAGCAGCTCGGTCGACAAGAACCGGTCAATCTTGGATAGAATGGCGGCTCGTCAAAAGGTCCCCTCAACCGTGTCCAAGCCGTCCTTAACGGCGTTGAAGTCGAGACCTGAGCCAGCAGTCTCCATGGCATCAAAGCACGCACTTATTGAATCGAGAAAGAAGGCCAAGGCAGAAAAGCTGAAGAGAGACGCTGAGATGATCGCCAAAGCCAAGGCCCTTCGAGGTCCCCTCAATGTTGGCGAAGGCTCAGGTCTGAAGGGTCTCGGTGGTGTCGTTGGAAAAGAGCACGCACCCCAAAAGAGCCAGATTATGGTTGACAGCGACGAGGAAGACGATGACGATTCTGAGGACGAGGACCTCGACAATCTCCTTAACAAGGGTGAGCAAGGCAAGAAAGCGATGGACGAGGCCACGAGGCGCCGCGAGCGAGCACTACTTGAGAAGACTCGCGGTCCTGTTAAAAAGGTAAAGGTGCAGCGATCCGCGAAAGATATGCGTGCTCGTTTGATCCCCCCCATGGACCAGCTTCACCAGGCTATCTTGGAGTGGGATATCTTCCATGAAGGCAATGACCCCCCGTCAACCTCAGGATCCATTGCCTGCACTCGGGTGGCAGACTCGTACGCTCATCCCGGGGAGTACAAGCAGACTTTTCTTGGTCTTCTCATCTCCGAAGCCTGGAGATCTTTCGTGACTTCTAAAGACGAGACGACTTCCAAGAGTTATGGGCTCAAGATTGCGTCTCGCATGAATGTCGACAAATTCCTTGAAGTGACCGCCAGCATCCCCACCACCGAAAATAAGGAGAGGATGCTGTCCGAAGGTGACATCATCCTTCTGTCAACGGGCA